CTTATAAACAAAACGTTAATAAAGGTTAATGAAAAGTAAACAATAGATACGCAATACAATTATCTAACTGGAAATTTCGAAAAGCCAAATAAGGCTTTTTTTAAATTAAAATCTCCATCCATGTAGATTCTTATTTTTCTTATCACTATTTCCTCCATCATTATTTCTCTTATCATTCTCTTGTCTGATCCATATTTTTCTCTTGTTTCATTTTTTTCGAAAAACATTCGCAACATATGTAGTTTTCGGCTGCTAACTTTACAGTAATCAATAACCGTCCTAGTTATTTCGCTCGTCTTCAGTTACCCGACAAATTTGATAAGGGGACAGACTACCATAAAGCATATTGAAAGCATCCTTCCCGATATCAGCTCAGTAATTATGGAGTCCATTTTTTTATATTGCTGAAATGGTTCACATGTCGTTAAGTCTCTTAATTTTTATGTTCTGCTTTATACTCATACCTATATATAGATTACTTTATTCCCAGCTGATATTAAGTTCCTCAACGTGTAACATTCGGTCTTCATTCGCAGGGTTTAATCTTCTCTATTTATTTAGGAAAGATCGCTTGCAAAAGTTATTTATCATGATCACAGTGGTTCACTCTTTTGAGAGTGGAAAAATTAAGAATTCATAATTATAAACCCTGTTCTATGTTTAATACTATGTAATTCTGTGATTATCAGAAAGCAAATAGGTATTTTCATTCGGAGCTAATCCGGAATAGAAATGAATTATATTGATATATTTAAAAACTACTACAGTTCGAATAAGACTATTACGTGTTGATATGGAACCTTATGAAGTGTGAATATTAGGCTTGATTGTAAATAAAAGGTGTCCTTATTTTCTACTAAATATTCGTCCAAATGTACCATGGTATGACATCCACAGGGACCTCAAGATTCATCCCATCAAAAAATACGTAAAGGATAGAGCCCTGAAATTATTTGCGAAAACTGACAGACTTTCCAACACCGCGTTATCAAATCTCAAAATGGTTATAGGCTCCTCGGGGAGGTATGCAGATCTGAGGTCAATTATTACTTAGTCAGATGAAGTGATAAACAATAATCTAGTCAAGGCGTAAAGAAGGGTTTTAAAAATACCTCGATTTAAGAAAGATTAAAAGTGCTTAAGTGCACTGGCTCAAATAGCTTCAACATAATAATTAGTTTAAACTATTAAAATTTTGCTTTTTAAATTCTATCTACCTAAATATTATTTATAAAACAAAGTTTATTCTAATCGGCTGTAAAAATTTCAATTTCAGCAGATTCAAAACATCCTTTGTTACGGTTTAGATTTCACAAGCGCAAATAAAGTTTTTAATAAGTTCTAAACTACTTAAAAGTTTTTGATTTTAGATTTATTTTTTGGTTATTTCTTGCAGCAGTTATTTGCTTGATAACTTTAAATTTGCTCAAGAAAATTTGTTTAAGTTACTAATTACTAAAAACTCTAGCACCACACATAAAGGCAACAGAAGCATAGATTAACAACGTAGAGGACACACAATGAAAGTAGCTCGAAAGTAACAACAATGACCCAATAAATTGTAGGTAACATTTTGGCAACTGTGGCCAAAAAACTTTAACTCATCCAAAGTGCTAAACACAAACAAATACGTAACTAAACTGCTCTGATATCCAGCAGATATGGGCAGGAAGCCAAGACTGCCTGCATTATACGAGTAAAACGAAACAAAAATTGTGGAAAAAAGATATTGTAATAAAGGAAAACTGATACCACTACCCAACGTTGGAAACTATAATATCAACTTAAAAGTTTAACTGCAAATAAAAATTATTACAAAGGATTTTATATCTGAAGGTGTGAATATCATTCCAGCTTAAATTCCTTGCAAACGACAAGGGCCACGGAGCACTTACATAAAGTGTTGTTGCCATAATTTCCTAAGTGAGCGCAAAATTTACAAAAGCTTAGCATCTACCACCAGCGTAGGAGTATCTCACAGCACAATGTTTAACTGTTTAATTTGGGCCAAACACCAGGCGAGGAGCAACTTTGACGCACTTCAGTAGAATAACTCACTAACCTACTCACTACTGAAGCAGGCTAGCAAGCTAGGTAGCAGCTAGGTGGCAGCTAGGTGGCAGCTAGGTGGCAGCTAGGTGACCAAGCAGCGGAGTAATGCTACACGTTTTAAGTTTAACATCTTCGACCAAATCAAAGTGTTGATTATGATAACTGCTGGTAGGAGCCCGTAGATACTTATATTTATTAAAGCACTTACACGCCCACCCACCGAAGCATATTTAAGCATACTCTGTTCTTTGCCATTTAACTCGAGAGTTGAAATTAAAAATTAATCAGCAGTTTTTAGTGACTCAACTACACGTTGCCATTGCTCGCTGCAATTTTGCGCCAATGCTCATCACCAGGATAAGCTGCTCGGCTTTGGACTTCACCTGGAGCAGTTGCTGGCAAATTTTAAAAACCAAAAATAATGAAGCACAAATTTTAGCAGGTTTTGCTTTTATTGCTTTGGTATCGTTTGTTGGCATGGAGGGCACTTGGATGCTTGTACTTGGACAATGGCACTGCTTGAATGGATGTGAACTGTTGCCTATACATTGCATGGTTACACACTGACAAACTTTTATGTGCCTTTAAATATTGGTTGGGGTTTTTGCTAGGTTAACTTTTGATGCGGCATAAATTTTCGGCTCGGCTCGGATCGGCTCAGGTGCAAAAGAGTTATGTAGTGTTTATTGTTATGGTGATGTGTGTTTTTGTTTTAATAGCACTTTTGTTTTCAGTTCTTTAGTTTCTGTTTTGTTAGATGTATTTCATTTAGCTATCAACAATCCTTTACCATTGTGCTTTTCTGCTCTTCTCAGGGAAGAGGAAGCTATTAAACTTTGTTTTATGGCAACGTCATTTTCTTACATTAATTTTGACAAACGACTGACGTAGGCTGCAAAAATACTTTTCATCACTTGGACAATAAAAATAAAAAAAATAAACAAAATTTATAAACGAAATTGCTTTACCAATTTGAACAATAGCAAAGAGCTTTACCAGATACTCTACCAGATAAATCTCTGGTAAGCCAAGAACAGGAAAAATCTATCAGAGCTTAAAAATAGTACAGATTCGAAAGGAAAATCTGTTACACGTGCCGAAAATGTAGACTGCTTATTTGTTGTTTTTGGCAATTAACATTAAACTTTAAATAAGAATTATGAATCTGGATAATATTGCTTTTGTGAAAAGTATTTTGCTGACAAATACAGCTTACACTGAAGCAATAAGTCCTTTTACTGATATATTTTCAGCTTTCAATTTGTTGCTTTTGTTAATGTTAAGTAAAAACGTTTTAATTCCTCATTATTTTTTTTAAGCTACAATCTCTAGTTTATTTATTGTTAACAATTCAAGTCTATGGAACCAACTAAGCTTTGATTTTTACCATCAGCCCTATAGTTTGCAAACTTACCCTGTCTTTATGCAGGGTATGTCTTTATTTACTGACAATGTTTCTCTGTTTAATTATATACAAATAACTAAACTTTTCCTTTTGACCTATAGTTCGCGAACTATAGTCCTATAGTTTCCTTTAGTTTGTGAAAACCAGACCCTGTGAACTTATCAAAAATGAACGTATGAACACTGCAAGACTTACTGCTGTTCTTTCTGGTAATAGATTTATAGGAACCCATGCAGAGAAACCGTGCATTACTCATAATCCCCACTGCAGAAGTTGTGAAAACCTGTAGGAAAAACAAGTCATTCTGTGTATGTAACAACACTCTCACTGTGTATGCCTGGTTTTGGTGTCCAACTGAAATAGGTTTTTCGAAAAAAAGAAAGAAGTTATTTTTTAACTGTTTATCGGCGAAAACGAAAGACCTATTAAATTATCTAAATTTGGCGAGATGCATTTAGTCTGTTTCTTTTTTCTCTTAGAGTTTCTTATTAGGAATATGGTACCAAACGGTCAAAAATTGCTAACCGAAAAATGTCTGATGGCTTAACACTGCAACCAACCATATATCTTGTAGTCACAGTCTGACTTCAATGCTACATATCAAAAATTTTTACTAGTATACAATCACATTATGCTTGATTTATGTAAATATATTGTTCTTAATAGCTTTGAACTTGAGGCAAAGAAAATACTAACTTGTTACCTCTACATATTTTAGGAAGAATAACAATTAGATTTTTGATTATAAAAATTATAGATTTAATCTTTTAGCATGTTGCTAATAGCTCCATTACACATTAGTTTAGTTAGTTTTAATTTAGTTAGTTTTTATTGGGGTAAAATTGGGAAACAATACCTGTCAGTTCTTTAAATCATTTTAGTGACTATATTTTACATAGCAGGATTATTTTAGGCATTATTTTTTTTATTACAAATAATTTTAAAATAAATAAGTAAAAGTCTAAGATATGAAAAACTGAGCCAAAATAGTTTCCTCGTTCTGGTTTTCATATATAATAAGCACCAACAATAAATCGTACGATCACGATCTGTTGTCAACGTATATTATTAGTCGATTGAGATCTCGAATAGACAAATAAAAGTAGAAAGTAAGATTTTTTACAAATCTGGACATCCACATAATTCCACATAACATATTTTAAGATTGCTGCATTTTCTGCAGTTTTAACACTCAGCTGTGTCCAATCCCATTTAAAGAGATAGGATTGGGAAATGTTTTAAATTCGAAGAAACGAATTCAATTAAAGAAACAAATTAAAGCACCAAAATTTAATTGCAATATATAAATGAAATCATTTTTATTTGAATAATACAATATATAATCATGTGAGTTAATCAATGGAGTAGCGTTCCAAGTATTGAAAACGAAGAAGTAGGATAAATGAAGTATTGTATAGTATTACATGATTTCTTCAAAAATTTTGTCATAGCAATATAACTTATATTATAACGTAAAACTAATTTTTTAATATTAATTAAAAATTTTAAATATAAATTTAAAAATATTAGAAGTATGAATATACTACATTTGACCGGGGCTCTTCATTAATGAACGCTTCCTGAATTTTTTAGCAACGTCAGCACATTTGTTAGTGATGGCAGCACGTATTTCGCGCTCTGGACAACTGCATTTCCTCATTATACAATATATAATATCAGCTACCTTAAGCGGGTCCAATTGCTTTTTCGCGGGATTTGGGCGATCAATAAACGCAGGTGATGGTTTTCCGGTGAGTGAATGAGTCGCCAATATTTCTTCATCAAAGATATTAGTAATCAAATTACGTGTAGCTGTTGAAGTTGTCTTCCAATTTATGCGCTCATATTTATGTGCCGGTAGTTGAGTTCCATTTGGTCCAATGATGATAACTCGTCCAGATTCAGTCATCTTATATTTTGGATATTCTGGCTCCATAGAATTATGTGAATTGTCATCTCCAATCATTTCTTTATATTTTCTTTTTAATATACTACGTTGAATTTCAGACAGAAAATAATCAGCTGGAACAGCCGGCACTATGTTAACCAGTGCCACTGGTGTATTATTTTGAGCTTGATATGGATAAAAAGATCTATTCATATCAACACCTTTTTCAGTTCCTGATGTTGTGAATTGTTGACTTATATTAGATATATTAGAAATATTGAAACTGTTGTTCATTAGCATGGCTGCTGCTGGTGACATACTTCTTTCCGCAGAGACCGCTATACTGCTACTGCTACATGGTGATGGATTATTTCTTGCGTTGTAATCGAGAATCTCTACCACAGCTGGTACACAAGTCGCTTCTTTCCTCTCAGTTAAATCATTTATTTCTGAGTAAGTAGCTGCTTTTATCTGCTCAACATTTTCATTTTCTTCATTTTTAACATTTTGTAAGTTTTGTAAGAGATTTTCGTAGCGTTGCCTTAGATCACTTACTTTCTTCTTCGGTTGACGTATGATACCATCCATTATTTTATACATATTGATGAGTTATTCGAAAGTTTTTGCTTATATCTTCAAGACTGCTAAGTAAAGAATGATATTTTACTACTACATTTCTATCGTTTATATACAAAATTTTTGCATTACGCGAATTCAGAAAAACGGTTAAACGATACAAATTATTGCTACCTGCGATAACCTCGAAAACTCTATTTTGTCTCAATTCGACTCGCTTACCTACACCAACTATATCCTTAATGACAGGTACCGCGTCTAGCAAGAACATATTTCTACCTAATTTTATTCAGATAGTGATATAGATATTTGTGTCTTACATATTTACTGATTATATGAATAAACTATTTTCTAGGATTCAGAAATAAATTTTTTGGTTATTGACTTTCCGGGAATTGACAAAATATTTGGAAATTTTTTGATCTGGAGATTTTAAGGAATATGTTTACACTAGAAGTAATGAAAATGAGTTGATTTCGTAGAAACAGATGTTATAATATCATGAGTAATTGATTTTATTATTAAAATGTTTTATTAAATATAAGCTTCTCATTAAATTTTTTTTAATATTACATTAAAATCAGTTATTTGGACTGCAATCTTAATTTCAGAAACTTAATATATATCAAAAATTGTTAATAGATATAAAAATAATACAACTTATCAAATTTTAATTCATTAAAATTTAGACTAGAGTTCTATAGGCGACCCATCCTACTAAAATACTAGCTTACTTTGGCCCTAACACTACAATAACTATATAACTATTATAATAAATTTTTTTGAATGCATATTAATCTAAATAATAAAAATCTATATAATTTAATATACATAATCTCATAAAATATGTAATCTATATTTATGTTTATAACTTCAATATTATCGTTATCATTAAATAATCCACATTGAACAAAAGTTATATCTTGCTTGCAGAATATATCATATTCAAAACCTTTCTAAACTCCGATTATTAGTAACATAGTATAATTTTTGATTCCGCTTTCTGCATTTACCGTTCTTTAAAACTAATATAATATAAAATAATAAAAATCTATATAATTTAATATACATAATCTCATAATATATGTAATCTATATTAATATTCCACTTTGAACAAAAGTTATATCTTGCTTGCAGCATATATCATATTGAAAACCTTTCTAAACTACGATTATTTCTAGCCCAGTGTATCTTTTGATCCCGCTTCCTGCAATTGTCGTTCTTTAAGACTAATATAATATAAAATAATAAACATCTATATAATTTAATATACATGATCTCATAATATATGTAATCTATATTAATATTTCACTTTGAACAAAAGTTACATCTTGCTTGCAGTATATATCATATTGAAAACCTTTCTAAACTACGATTATTTGTAACCCAGTGTATCTTTTGATCCCGCTTCTTGCAATTGCCGCTCCTTAAAAACTTTGCTACATAGTAAAAAAATTATTGCCCTCAATCAACTTTTATTTATTTATTAGTAGTATTCAAGCTTCTACTATAATTGCCAGTTTCGATGCAGTTTATGTTTCCAAGGTGCCCACATGTTAAGTAAAGAACTCCATGCAATTTTTCATACAACAGTTGACAAATTTCCTAACAGATCACATGCACAAGCACAACAGAATTTTCTGACACTGTTAAACTTAACAGAAGAAAACTCACTTGAATATATTAAATAGAAAGATGCCTATAAAAAAAACTGTTAATTTCGGTTTAAAATATTAACAAAATCAACTCACCCTCGCGCAACAAATCTCGTACAATTGACAAAGCCTGAAATTTAATGTAATATAATATATATCATATATATATATATTAATATCTGAATATTACAAATATATTGAATAAAGAATGGTATACTTACCTTGGACTATCGTTGAATGTTTATTTTGTTGGAACTTTATTTAGAATAAAGTAATTTTAAAATAATTTTAAATTAAATTTTACTTAATAGACGGGAAAAAAACACTAACACCGGCACTGAAACACACTTTAATAAATAATGTCAAAGTAAAAAAACAAAAGAAACGTCAAAACAAGAAAGCTTTTGCGCAAAAATGTGGAATTAGATCAAAGCTAAAGCAAGAATAACGTCCACCTTCCACATGAGTGGGATGAGATTTTGTCGTAAAGCTGGACTTTCGCTTAGTGCATTGCAGAGGCAACAGAAAGCGAGCTTCGATCAGCGTTCATTGAACTTTAATACATTTCCAAAAACAAAAATAATGAATTCTATAAGATGTCGCAGTTCACTCCTATACATTTCAGAGCTTTTGTTGAAGTGGACCAACATTAAGTTTGCAACAACAATTTGCTTTAGTCAGTGAACACAATCCACATTTTCTTTATGCCATATATTTTGTTATTATAATTTTAACAGAAATTAATACAATTCTGTTAAAGCAATTAAGATCAGAACATGCATTTGAAATTTATGTTTTTTTTATTTTGTATGGTGGCTTTACTAGGCAAAGCGAATTGTTGCTAATTTTTACTGCTTTAAGCATATTATTTTTTTATAAAAAATTATGAATTGAAGAAAATATTTGTTTATTTGAAAAAAATAAGCAGTGTAAAAAAAATTAAAGTGACATATGTATGTACATATTCAGATATTCTTTATATATATATTTATATTAATTGTTAAAATATTTTTTAAATATTAAAAGCAATGATTATTTATATATTGACATATTCAATCAATTAAACTGTCTCGAATAGATTTAGGTATACTCTTCCTATGGTATGCTTTAATATAATATTATATATAATAATATAATAATAATATAATAATAATAATGTTAATAATGTTGGATTAGATACATGCACTCCCAACAAAAAGACGCATGTATTTTATAATTAAATATACCATAATTATTATTATGTTGAAGCTATTTGAGCCAATGCACTTAAGCATTTTTACTCTCTGTTAACTGCGAGTTATCTTCAAAACCCCTCTTTACGCCTTGACTGGATTATTGTTTATCACTTCATCAGACTAAGCAATAATTGATCTCAGATCTACATACCTCCTCGAGGAGCCTGTAACCATTCTGAGATTTAGAAATAAATTTTCAAGTTAATGACTTTCCGGAAAATGACAAAATATTTGGAAATATTTTGATCTGGAGATTTTAAGGAATATTTTTAACACTAGAAGTGATAAAAATATCTTCAAAACCCCTCTTTATGCCTTGACTGGATTATTGTTTATCACTTCATCAGACTAAGCAATAATTGACCTTAGATCTGCATACTTCCCCGAGGAGGCTGTTTATTATTACTATTATATTATTATTATTTATATATTTAAATTATTTATATTTTATTTATTTGCGATTTTTATAAATAATAAGACATAGTTTAATGAGTTCTAAAATAAGGAGCAAAAATTTTTGCTCATCAATGTTATGCCTTAGATGATTACCGTCGATACCACCTATCGGTGGGGTGATTCTGATTTTTGGATTAATTTTAATATTATGAGCAACTTCTTCTACTATTATCTGCCATTATATTGCTTGATTTTTGAGATATTATGTTTTGGAGTTGTAAGCCTCTAACATGAATTAACTAACAAAAATACGAAAACGCCATCTATCAATAGCTACTACCTATATGCAATTATTATATTGATTGTACTAGAGACCACAAACAACATTTAGTGATTGCCAGCTGGCGCGTCTACTTGTTGTTGGTTATTTTCATATAAAAATTTTTGAAGTCACGCTCCGATATCTGAAGAAGTCAGCTATATCGCTTCTAAATTACTAAATACTTCTCAAAATAATACTATTTCTCAAAATCCAAAGATAAGTCGATTTCAATAGGATCGAAATCGTACAATGTGAAACTAAAATGATAAATTGTTTTCTCTTATATTTTAATTTTAATATTATTATAATCCTTATTTAGTTTTAAGCTGCTAGGCTCAAATCTGCAACACATTTTGCGCATAGACATCTGAACCACTAGCACTAACGAGTTAACGTTTAAAAATTGAGGTTCTTAAGACTAATAACAAAAATTTCTTTTATTGAATAATACGAATTTAGAAAAGTAATTCGATTAAAGTATATATTGCAAACTTGTTATCAATAAATATGTAAATAAAAGTTTTAACTCTAGACATCTCTTTGAGATTATAGTCCATTCCTCTCAAAAGGAAAAATATTTCATACATTTCTTAAAAAAGGGTTTTTTTTCAGTATGATTTGAACTAAAAGTAAAAAATCCCACGTTTTGAGTATGCAGAAATGGCAGTTTGGAGAACGATATCAAGGTAGAAATCTGTATTTATTTGTAGATAATCTAGTCACAAAATTTATTTATAGAAAGAAAATTTTTATAACCTATTTAACCCACTAGAGACCCAGAAGAAAGAAAAGAGAAATGAAGAAAAAAAATTGCAGAATTGCAGATGTTAACTCAAAAGCCTCAAATTAACGTAAAATTATTGAAAAATCAAAGAAAAAGGGATTCAGTTCAGCACAATGTGATCTGCCATGTATCTTAAACCCCCATTTTTATTTATGAACTATGAGTTTTCCACATCTCCTTTACTGACTGAATTATTTTTTTGTGATTAAAATAGTAAAATAATATATTTAAACAAATCTTAAATTATTACTCAAAATATAACAGAAACGTTTTTTTTTTTGTAATCATGCCCATGGTAACCCTAATTAGGGTAAGCATTATTAATTATTTCTAATAGTTCTATGTCAGTAATGACTTTATTTTGGAGAAACTTAAGATGTAATTTATCACCTCGTTCGATATTATTATGTTCACCTTGAGAATTGATGGCGGAAAAATCCAGAGCACAAATTCCATTTAATTTATGCTACTTAACTCAAAAATACTACAAATGCCGCTTAACTTTAATTAAAAACACTGAAAGTGTTTAATGACTGCAATTAAGCTAAAAACAAATAATTATTCGACGCATACAAATGAAATTGCACACTCGTCACTCTTTACTCGTCGCTGCACTTATTTGCGCGAATGCATGCATAAGTAAATAAGTTTCGGCTAAATTGCTTTGTTGTGCATTTATAGCTTTTATATAGATACTTTTGAATTTGGGGGGATATGCAGTTTTGTATCTACTCGTAGCTCGCTTACTGTTTCATGTGCTAATGACGTGTATAATGCAATGCAAATAAACACTCGCTCACACGCATTCAAACACTCGCTCATTTCAAAGCATATGCAAATGTGATATATTGCGAACGTATTGCATTTGTCATTGTCATTAACAGTAAAATTTTAAATTGTTCGGAAAATAGAGTTTTCAAAAGTGAAATGTGTTTTTCTTAACTGCAACTATTCGTACAACAATGATAACGATAATCATTAATTTTATGATATTCTCACTCGTACGAGTATTTTGGCATAATTGCGATTTGTAGTTTGTGCTGATGTATGGAACCTCATAGAAAATAAAGTAATATTGTATGAAAATGCTAACATGCAAAAATTTGAAGTAAAAATTAAATATTTTAGCAAAATTTTCTGATATAAAATAGTTTATATTGTCAAATTTATGACATATTATTTCGAGTACAAAACAATTATTTAATAAAAATTATTATCTTCTATGTTTTTATTTTTAGCTCAACCACAACGCCAAATTATGGAAGGAAAATGACAATGTCATTAATTTTTGGCCAACTATTCAAAATTTACTCTTTATGGATTTTAATATTTTCACTGAAGTATATAGTTATTTTCTAGTTTTTTCAATGACAAGTTTTTTCCAGTGAAACCATGGATGTATTTTTTGCCACCACTGTTTTTTGTATTGGTTCTTGATACACACTATATGTTAAGTAATTTAATACAGACTTTTACCTAACCCAATTTAGGTTAGGTTGGAGAGATAAGGCGCAAGTCGATACAACCAACAACACTACTAGTCGGAAGCATGTATTACCCGTTGTGATGCTCTCAAAGTTGAATACATCACTATTTAAATTTTGAACTTTGGCAACACTGATAATTGTCAGAAGCCATCTGTCAATTGAACTGATGAACTGAGTGAAGGTCGTTCAAAATGAGCTAGCTTCAGTTGTGCCAGAAAACATTGATACTGTGTAAAATCTGATAATACAAGATCGTCATGCAACATACTGTAACATTGAGTTTGAGGTAGAACCCTTGGTATTAGTTCTACCTGCATATATAAAATATTGCATCATCATTTAGCCCAAAGAAAGGTTTGTTTTTGTTGAATCCCATCCCCTATCATTTGACAAAATCTGAAAAAAACTCTCTCGTGTCGATTGGTGCGCACAAATGGTCAAGAAGTACTATGACGGTGCATATAAGATTATATGCACTATAAGGAAGACGCATATAAGATTGTAACAATTGACCAATTATGAATATATGCGTATGAGCTGGAACGTAAACAGTAGTCGACACTGCTCCAAAATTTGGATGTTTCCAGATGAACCAAATCCAACGCTTATTTTTCGAAAAAATTTGGTCATGTGGCAACTATTCTATTACAAAAACGTAAAACCGATTTCAAATAATATACAACCATTTGTTTACAGGAAGTCTTCAGTGAAATATGGAACACAAATAAGCGCCATAGGGTCATTCTCCATCAAGAAAATGCAAGTGCTCACACATCTTATCTAACAACCGACTATTTAAACATTCAATAAATCGAATTAATGAGTCATCTGCCGTACAGTATGGGCACCGATTTGGCACCTAATGACTTCTTCTTGTACCATAACGTCAAGAATAAATTCCATGGACAACGATTTTTGTTGGCGGAAGAAGAAGAAGCAGTTGTTACATTTAAAAACAGTTGTTGCATGTTTTGGAGGTGTCTGAAGAAGATTGGAAAAAACGCTTTGACAATTAATTCAAACTCATGCATAAGTATTAATCATAAAAAAAAATACTTCAAGAAACAATAAAGAGTG